CCGCATGAATGTCTACAATAGTGATGATAACTAAAAGAGTGTCTATTTATTTTTATATTTATATACTTTTTTGTATTGTCTATCATTTATTGGTTTACATTTTAAAAAGTCTATTGCTCTTTAATGGCCCAAAATTTCTATAGTAAACTTTTTGTTTTGTTAGCTCTAACTAGCACGAGGCTCGTTAAAATCATATTCTACATAATTTTTTTACATTATTTAAGAGGATAAGAGTAGTGTAATGTTTTCCATTTTAAATTATGTAAATGTATATATCATTATTATATATGCGTTTTAATAAGATTTTATTTACATGTAATTGTTATCGCATAAAATATTAATAAAATGTCTTTACTTTGAAACTGTACGTTTTAAATTAATTTTTCAAAATTGAAAAAGATGTGTTACCTTTTTGATGGCTGTACCTCAGACAGATTTGGAGATCAGCAAAATATTTTAGATATTTCTCAAAGTCATTTGAAAAAATACCCGACTCTGTTGTTAAAAATAGTGGATTCTATTTATGATAATGTAAGTATTTATCAAACTTATGCGCAGACTGGAAAATAAATAAATAAAAACTAATTTCAATTAAAGTTCATCCAGCTGAAAGATTTCTCAATATGGTTTGAGCAACACACACTATGCACTATATGCAACTCAACAGTCCAAACCGTTCTAAAATATAATTTCACGTTCAACCATATCATAAAGACTGGGTAATTTTAATCTGAAACGAATACCCGAGTATCGTGTAGGTATTATATCAGTATGAGTATTTTGATAATTTAGAATAAAGTCATGTTCTAGTTAAACTAGATTATATTATCGGAATAGGTACTTATATACAACAAATTAAACAAAATTTTTGGCGATGTAAATTTCAATATAATATGCTATGGTAGTAAACTTCTTTAAAGATAAACGTTCTTCAACGCGTTTTTAGTGATTTTCGTATACCTACGAAAAAAACTTGTAGGAAGTTATGTATTTTGTGAACAAATATGTGTCAATTTTATCTTAATAATCTAAATTTATTGAAACATCCAGATTTTAAATCAATGTGCATTCATATATACAATATATCTGTGTAATAAATTCTAATATTAATAAAACCTTAAGAATTGTCCCATTTTCAATTACTTATGAAAAATAAAATTTTCATTCTATACCAGGATTATTAATATATACCAATCTAACGTATCATTGAATAAATATAGAATGAGATCCTAATCTGAGAGGTCTGAGCGAAATTAAGTAGATGATTTTATTATGTACACAGTAGTAAAATCATTAGATTTAGCAGAGATGCTTGAAAATTTAACAGGTTTATTAAGAGTCTTACACTGTGGAAAAACAAAATGAGTTTAATGTAGAATTTTTTTTTAGGAGAATTTTATCATAAAATTTTGACGAAAATCGTCTAAGTAAAAAAATATGTTGACCAAATCTGATTTTTAATTTTTTTTTTTTTTTTTTTCTTTTTAATGTATGGATGTTATTGATTTAAGTACAACGGTGAACTCAGAATTAAACAGACCCTCTTAGTTTCAAAATAATAGCTTTTTAATGTTTTAATATTATGCGAATATTATGTTACGATAAAAATTCTATATTGTCCTAAATGATATTTGTCGTGATCAAATGGTTATACATGCTTATTATTGTTCTAGGAGGTATCCAGAGTTCAAACCTGTATTTAGTACAAAATTGTTTGCATTTTATTCCTCCTTAACCTAAACAAGGAAAAAAGAAATACATTTTGGGTGTACCTAGAACCTCAAACCATTTTAATCGCAAAATAACCCTTGATTTTTTGTGCTAACTTTTTTACCAGAAATCTTGTTCCGATGTTCACGTTAAAATGAAATTATTTTAGTAAAATATAACACCTAACTCATAGATTAATACTTAGTTAACGACCTAGATTTAACAGTAAAATAATATAAAATATTTTAATTACCGTCTTATACAGAAATATAAAAAAGATGTAAATATTTTTGTGATATTTTTATTTTAATAATATCAAAATTTCATTCCAATATGTCATAGACAATAAAGTAACTATTTTTTTAACCCCTTATAAGATATTTCACTAAAAATTGTTTTCAATGTCATTTGTATGGTACCTATTGGTTATTTAAAAAAAACTTATTTCCGTGGATCAGAAATTTTTTAAAATTTCATGTCACGAAAAACACCTCCAGGTGGATTTTTCGTGAAGAATTTATTGAAATCCAAATGTTAGGTTTATTTTTCATTAAATGATGTATTCACTTAATTCGATCCATCATGGCTCTTCTTACAGTATTTACAAATACAAGTTCATATTTATTTCAAATTTCCGGAAAAAATTATACAGTTCTTAAACTTGTATGACTGTTTATTCGACCTATATTAAATTTTCAAACCAATCGAGTAAATCTATAAATTCGTTAAATTAATTTGTTGACAATAATATAATTAGTGCACGGTCGATATCTGCATAATTTAATAAATCTCGGATAGTAATAAAAAAAAATAAAAACACTAATCATAGTGAAACAAATAGATCCCTTTCTAAGCTCTGTACCCAAAATGGAAAAAACTATTTAGAAGTTATTTATTTTGTAAATATATTTATGTCAATTTTATCTAAAGATTCTAAATTGATTAAAATAAAATACCCGGATCATCAAATCACTAATATTTACAATATTTTTGTATAATAAATTATAATATTAGTAATACTTCAGGAATCGTCCATTTTCTATTACTAATGGGAAATAAAATTATCATTCTATACCAAGATTTTTAAATATATACCTATCTAACGTATCAGTAAAGCTATGCATAGTTAAATCCTAATCTACGAAATCTGAGCNTTAAATCGATCTGATACATTTTTGATTACAGTAATTTTAAAGCAATATGTAAATAGGTCACAGATTATACTACGTAGGATATTTTTTTAAAATAAATTGTACATTATTTAAACAAGAACTACCAGGTGTGAGCAACGATAATTAATTGCAACACCTACTCGATAATAGTAGTTAACTATTGTGCACAATTTCTTCCCAGTATAATATTTAGACTCAACTTGGTTTTTGGTTTTTTAAAAAATATATGATGATATTTCGTACGCTTGTAATATCAGTACAAATACTTCTAGTATTAAATGAAAAACCAGAAATGGCAAAAAAAATATCTAAACAAAAAGATCATGAAAATATTGTAAAAATATTTTACGATATGAATTTGGTTAGTAAACATTCTTATGAAATTCGCGATTACTCTACGATAACAGCGTTCGAAGACAGTATATGTCTTATACTTGACCAATTCAGTAAATATTATTTATCGGTATTTCCTACTGAGACAAAAGTAAATGATTTATGCAAAGGATTAGAAACCAATTCAAGCAAGGTATATGAATTACGAATACGAAAAGACTATGTGGAAAATATATGTTTACATATTATACGATGTATAGATTATTTGTACGTTAGCGTATTATACAGAAATAAAAAACTGTTCAATATGTACAAATCGCATAGCTTGCTTTGTGGAACAATACAAAGATTTTTCACAGAACATTGTGAACAATCGAAATTCACCGATGAAGAAATAACTATCAGTTGCAATATCCAAAAGTTACATGTTTTTTTAAGTAAAATTATATATTTTGAAAAAATTACTGAAGAAGAATCCCTTCAGTACCAAGAAAACACGGTATACCAAAGTAATGCTACAAAATTTGTGTTATCTGAATACGAACTCATGAGTGATATTGATTGGACGTCAACATTTAGTATTGCTAGTGCCACATACGATATTTTTAACCAAACGCCATCACAGGATGTTCTAAATAAAACAATAGTACGTCAACAACTATTGGTTCAATATGATACTATAAAATTAGAAAAAGTGTTAAAAAAATACAGTATACTTTATACTATTGACATAAGTAAAACTGAATGTGCACCTGTGCCAATTACTGATCAGCATGAAACATATATTGTGGTAGGTCATTTAATAATCTATACGCTCCAAAGGCTTGAACAGCATTTAACATTTATACTTAAAAACTCTAATACAACCATATCCAAATTAAACAAGGACCAAATCGATCAAAATGTGTTGAGTCCATTTAAAAAGTTATGTGATTATGTTCCGGAAATTCTTCTGTATTTGTTCGAACATGACCCAAATTGTTTGATTGATACAACTTTATTTAGTTTGTATTTGTCCCTTTGCGGAAATAATATGGATTTTATCGATTTCCGTTGTCCCGCTGAATACGAAGGTGAGTTGGAGAACAAACCGTTATATCAATATAAATGTACTACGGAAGCAATAAGAGATAAATTGCTGTGGAATTTTTATAGCCGAACTGGAGCACTTTTAAAAGAAGATGAATATACGACAAATTCAATTATTAATACTGATTGTTCAGAGTTAAATTACAAATATATTAAGGACATTTCTACTACCCTTACTGATTTCTACAATAAAAAAAATACCGAAATCATAATATGGACCACGTATGATTGGTTAAGTTTAAAATTATTACTCACCGAGGTGTATACAGATAATATCGACATAAGCAGCATAAAAAACAATAAGATAAATATAGAAAGTATACCATTCACATTGACAGAGATATACTATTTTTTTTTACCGTTAAATACAAACATAAAAACATTTCTAACTTTCCACAATATCGTTTTATGCAATTATCTGGACGAAACAATAAATATGTATATTTATCGTCATGCAATAACGATTGTTATGTTTTTT